TGTCTTTTGGACAGAGTATATGATATGTTCACTACTGCAGCAACAGGGTTTCTCTGTGTATCCCTGGCTGTCCTGGAACTCACTCTGTAGACCAGGCTGGCCCCAAATTCACAAAGATCCACTTGTCTCTGCCTCCCAAGTGCTGGGGTTAAAGGTGTGCATCAACTCTGTCTGGCTGGATATTTATTTTTGAAATGATTTTTTGAGTGGCTGGAGAGATGGCTTAGTGGCTATGAGTACTGGCTGCTCTTCCAGAGAGCCCGGGTTCAATTCTGACACCCTCTTCTAGTCTGTGCATCAGACACACATGTGATGCACAGACATACATGCAGCCAAATTGCTCAAACACATAAAATAAATACTTAAAAAATTAAAGTTAAAAAATTCACTTTTAAAATTTGAATAACCAATGTGACATGGTCTGGAGATGTAGCTTAGTTTCTAGAATGCTCACTTAATATGCACAAGGCCCTGGTTTTATTTCTAGCACCTCAAAACCAAACAAAGCACCCAGATGTTTCATATATATAATACACACACACACACACACACACACACACACACACACACACACACACACACACACATATATATGTACACCATTTTTGTCACTACTGGACAATGGGCACAGATGATGGCTAGTTTAGAATTATGACAGTAATTTAATATTGGTGAGTTGAATTAATTTTGGTAATCTGAAAATAACTGATTTTAAATCCATGTGGAAAGCACCCTGAAAATAAGTTTTACATTAATAAGAAATACTTGGGGGATATGATGACTGTCTTCATATATATTTTCCAGAGCATGGTGGCAGCTGCAATACTACAATAAATTATATTGTTCCTCATTTTCAGACATTACTAAATCCTCTTACCTACCCATGTGGCATCTTAGACATCACTTCATACAGCCCCTGCAAAGGAAAAACAAAAGGAATACACTGCCATCACTGTGTGTGGGCAATAATTTTCTGCATCTGAACCTTTGAGTGGGTGATAAATGCATTCATCTTTTGAATAACCTGAATATTCAAACTAAGAGTCATAGTGCTGATTAACATTTAAGTAAAAGTAATTATCCTTTTTAAAACTAATGGTTGATAATGCATGAAGACTGTGTTTACATCGTTTCTACTCCCCCCTCTCCCCATCCAACTCTTCCTGTGCACCCATTACCTCTCAAATTCATGATACATTATTTGATTATTTCATTTTACACATACAACTGACTGAGGCTACTTACTTTGTCTTTGTGTTTAGAACTGGTCATTTTGGACTCAATAATTTATGGAGGAACTGATCCCTGGAACAATTCAATTCTAATTCTCTCAGTAACTGTTGGTTGACTGCAGCTAGCCACATTGTAGGGGAGCCATGCAAAGTTTTTCCCATTCACATTAGAAGGCCAAACTTTGTCACTGGGAACGTTGCCTTTAAGGGACACACTGTTGAAATTTCCCTGGTACAGCTTCACTGTCAAGTGTAGAGAACACTATCTAGCAGTAGGCATCCTGTTCTTCTGGCTTCTATAATCTTTCTTTCCTCTCTTCCTTAGTTTTCCTTAAGCCTTATGTATATTTTTAAATTATTTTTAATTACTCATATTTACATATCCATTCCCCCATTTCCTTGCCCTCCCACCCTCCCATGTTCCCCACCTACCCCCCAATCCATCCCCCAACTCCTCTCCAGGGATATGTGGCCCTCCACCAGGGACCTTCAAAGTCTGTCATTTCATTTGGGAGAGGGCCTAGACCCTCCTTGCTGTATCTGGACTGCAATAGTATCCCTCCATAGGGAATGGGCTCCCAAAGTCCATTTGTGCTCTAAGGATATAGACTGGCTCCACTGTTAGAGGTCCCATAGACTGTCTTGGCCTCCTAGCTGGTGCCCACATTCAGAGGGCTTGGTTCGGTCCAATGCTGTTTCCCCAGCTTTATGACTAGGGTCTCCATGCTCTCACTAGGTCAGGTCAACTGTTTCTGTGGGTTTCTTCAGCACCATCTTGGCTCCTTTGTTCATCCCTCCTCCCTCTCCACAACTGGATTCCAGGAGTATGGGTTAGAGCTTAGCTGTCAGTGCCTGTTTCTGCTTCGAACAGCTACTGGAATGGTAACTAAGGTAGATATCAATCTCATTATAGAGGAAGGGCATCAATGGCATCTTCTCCACCACTGCTTAGGAGAATCTTCATCTTTCAAGCTCCAATTCTATGCTTTTTTCCAGTACACACTTACAATATCTTTCCTAACCCTAATATTTTTAAGAAAATGTATTTAAAATCCAAACCAGTGATACTCAGCTCTGCCTTCCAAATTGGTGGCATAATTCAGAGCAATGAAGAAACTGAATTTGTGCTCTATTTCTATTGCAGGGATTATGCGGTGAGGGAAAGGCAGAGATGGATATTTCAAAACTCAGCCAAGGGAGTATTTGGCCCACTCTTTAACAAAACATAGACTAATGATATGTGGGGGTGGCTGCTCTCTTAGGCAGAGATGCACATAGCTAAAAGACATTGTATAATATTATGACAGGAATAGGATTTTCTGCAGAACTCTGAGACAGCAAACTAAATATCCAAGATACTTTAGAACTGCATAGTTACAACACATGGGGACAGATCTAGGGTTATGCCTCAGTTGGCAGAGTGTTTCCTCTCAATCTCCCAGCACTGTGCAAACTGGGTGTGGTGTACACATGTATTCTCAGCACTTGGGAGGTAAAGGCAAGAAGATTAGAAGTTGAAGGTCATTTCTGGTTATAGAGCAACTTTGAAGCCAACTCGAGCTACATGAGAGCCTGTCTTGAAAGAAAAAAAATGAAGGAGTGTCCTATGTATTTATAAAGACAAATGGCTGAGACTCACATTTAGGCCTTGCTGTGGCATAAAAACGAAGCTTAGGTGAAGTCAGCTTCATATTTGCATATATGAATGTTTCAGGGAGTAGACCCTTTAGGCTCATGGAGAGAGAGAGAGCAGGAGTGAGGCGAATGAGCAAGAGAGAGAAAATGAGAGTGAGTTCAAGAGCAGAGCAGCTATTCAAGAACAACCATGAGAGAAGAGATAATAAAAAGATACTAACACTTATGAAAACAGAAACTTGAGGCCAGAATTGATCTGGGTGAAAGAAAAACTTCTATCAAACATAAAAGTACATAGATCCAAGCCAGGAAGTGGTGGTGCACAACTTTAATCCCAACACTCAGGAGGCAGAAGCAAGTGGATCTCTGTGGGTTTGAGGCCAGCCTGGTCTACAGAGTGAGTTCCAGGACAGGCTCCAAAGCTACAGAGAAACTCTGTCTCAGAAAAAACAAAAAGTACATAGATCCTAAAATTACCAGAGTGACATAAAAAACACTGTTATTGCTTTTTAATATCTTTCTTCTGTTTGAGTCAGCAACAAAATAGGGGGTCATTTAGGAATGCTTTAGTTCCTATAATAGGAACCATAACTAACACTGTATTAAGCAAAAACTTCGTGTAACAAGAAGGTAGAACAGAAATTCTGGGATTATTTCAACTTCACCTTGTTTGTTGAACTTTGTTGACATGGTGTGATTCTCTGACATTTTCTCCCTATACAGTTCCATGCAAGCCAGTCTCTAAAGTACAATCTAGGGAAACTAGGAAGAAAAGTATTCTTATATTGGGAAAAATATTACTCCTAGGATCAACTAGGAGACTTTAGTTCTGTAAAGATATGATTCTCATTCCATCACTAATATATGAATGTAGGGGTAAGCAAGTATATATGTGTGTCCTCCTCTTCCTCTTCTTGAATGTGAATGTGTGTGTGTGTGTGTGTGTGTGTGTGTGTGTGTGTGTGTGGGGGTGTGTGGCGGCGGGGGTGTGTGGGTGCAGATGCATGTACAGTTGAGTCTGTGCATGTATGTAGAGGCCAGAGTTTGATGTTGGATGTCTTCTTCCCCCATTTTCCACTTTATTCACAGAGGCAGGCTCTCTTGCTGACACCACAGCTTGCTAATTTGACTAGTCTAGCTAGCCAGTTTGCCCCGTGATTTCTTGTATTTGTTTGCTGAGTGCCAGGGTTAAAAAACAACAACAAACTGCTATACCCATTCAGCTTTTATTCAAATGCTAGCTAGGGATTACAAATTCAGTTCCTCATGCTCAAGTACTTTACCCACTGAGCAATCACTTTAACCCTTTTCCTTCTTTTATAATAATAATAATTACTATTATTATTTATGACTTCATGTAGTCTAGGTAGGCCTTAAGCTTGCAATGTGATTGAGGCTGTCCTGGAATTCCTGATTTTCCCATTAGGTGTGTGCCACCATGCCAAGATTGTTTGATCTTTTGAGACACTGTCTTATGTCTTGAGCCTAAAAGTTTCCCAAGAACTTGGGCAGTGGCTTTTTATTATGGAAAACAATTTTTAAATTTAAATATATTTTATCATATTCTTCCCCTTCCCCAAGGCTTCCAGATTCTCCCCTCTCCCTACCCTGCTCAATTTTCTCAAAAATCAACCAGAAACCCAATACAACAGCAAAAGCCCCAAATCAAGAAAACAAAATGAAACACTTCCCCCCAAAAATAAAATAAAACAAAACAAATAAAAGTGTGTGTGCATGCCTGCATGCACGAGCACAAACACACACACACACACACACACACACACACACACACACACCTGTGGAGTCCATTATATGTTAGTCAACTGTTCCTAAACATGAGGCCTTCCCTGGAGTGGTTGATATATACCCAATGTCAGTACAATGGAGAAAACTGATTTTCCCTCTCTCAGCAGTTCAGTTGTTAACCTTACCCTAGTGGCTAGGTTTTCATTCATTTATTAATTCATTTTTAAATGTAACAAAATAAATATAACAAGATAAAATAAAAACTATCACATGAAAGTTGGAGTAGACAAACCAACAGAAGGAAAAGAGCCAAGAGAAGGCACAAGAATCAGAGACCCACTCATTCACATAGAAACACTAAACTGAAAGCCATAACCTGTTTCAGACCTGTGCAGGCCTTGTGCTTGCTGCTTCAGTCTCTGTGAGTTCATATGAGCTTTCATCTTGTTGATTTAGAGGGCCTTGTTTTCTTGGTGTCTTCCATCCCCTCTGGTTCTTACACCCTTCCCACTTCCTCTTCTCTGGGGTTTCCTGACCACTGAGGGGAGGGACTTGATGCAGACATTCCATTAGGGCTGAGTGTCCTAAGGTTTCTGATGCTCTGCACAATGTTTGGCTGTGACTGTGCTCCCATGTGTTGCTAGAGGAAACTTCTCTGGTGATGGCTGAGCAAGGACTTGAATTCATGGTACTCTTCTGTCTCTCACTCTTTAGTGATGAGATTATAGGTCTATACTACTATGCCTGGCTTACCTTAATTTATTCTTAGAAACCTTACCACGAAGTGGAAAGCAGCTGATCTCTTTTTTTGGGGGGGGGGGTGAACAAATATCTTCTTTTCTTCAACTTTTTTATTTGAATTAGAAACAGGATTATTTTACATGACAATCCCAGTTCCCTTCTCCCTTCTGTCCTCCCCTACTACACACCCCCAACTAAAACTCTATCTATGACATATCTTTTCTGCTAAAAAATATGGAATGCTTCACGAATTTGCATGTCATCCTTGCGCAGGGGCCATGCTAATCTTCTCTGTATCATTCCAATTTTAGTATATGTGCTGCCGAAGTGAGCACAGCAGCTGATTTTTTTAAAAAATCCAATTAATTTAAATAAGAAAATGTATAATGCAGTCTGTCGGTATCTAAGATTTTCAAGCTACTTTCACAGATCAGAAAATACATCAAGTCAATAGTGAGGATAACTTTCTGTACTGCCTATGGAAAGTAAATACATAAAGTTTGATTTGTACATAGAATGTAATATCACAAGGGAAAATAGTACTTGATAGGGATGGTGAAGGAGAAGGCAAAAGGGGTCATTTTTCAGAAGGCGAATTCCTTGGCTTCCATTATTTGCAAATTTTTCAGCATGGGGGAGGAGGGATTTGTGACTGTTTTGTATTCTAACTACACTTAAATAGCCTAGAAATCACTTTCAGGATAAGAAGAAAGATGGATATGAGAGTGCTTTGAAACAAGTGAAGTTGTGTGTTCAGTATGTAAAGGCTAAAAATTCAAATAGTAACCCTCTGCCCCCCCCCCACTTGACTCTATATGAGGAACAGAACATTTGGGGTTCATTCAAACATGATATTCAATTCCAATTTGTTCCATATGACATGCTCTCACTAGTAAATGAATGTTGAGTGCAATTGGTGAAGCTATATCACTTCTTGCAGAATATTTGTTTGATGTGTTTGGGGAATGAGAAAGACAATAGATTGGGGGGAAGAGGGAGTCAGTTCAGAAGTGATACAACTTCTCCAGAGTATTTATGACAAAAAGTCACTAAGTGAAGAGTTGTTACATGGCATATACATGTACCTGGAAAGGGGGATTTAGAGGGCTTGATTGGTTTTTCATTGATTACATTCACCCATTGAGGGTAGGCACATTACTAACCCAGGACAAATGAGTCTATTCTTATAGAGGAGGCTGGGGTGGTGGTGGTAGCTATTGTGTAGGCTACTATACATGTCTGCCATGTGATATCTATTCTCTTCCAAATTTCATGGGGAAAATGCAAGTAGTTAACCAGGGGGGCATTAATAAGATATATGTATAATTTTACTCACAGAATTAATAAGTCATTGTAATTCTCATAAGTACTGTGCTGAAAGTAATTGATGGTTGATGCAGAGATTCTTCAGTATCAGAGAAATTCAACCAACCACATCACAGAAAATGGAACAGTTGCATTGAAATTAAAAATGCATTCACATAACTGTTCCTTTTAGGTATCCAAACTGGCATGCCTCATTTGCTTTCACCTTGGAACGGCTGTCATGACCATCTCTTTTTGCCATCCATCGCTAGTATGAGACATATCTCAAGTCACTTTTTAGACAGTTCAACTTAGTACCTTTTCCCCTTGTACTTACTTATAATGGTACTGAGCTATTGATTCCTTGGTCCTTTGTCAAGCACTGATTGGATATTAAGTACTTTGCTTAGTTTTGTGAAAAAAATATTAGTCAAATAAGAAAGGACATTTCCCTCAAGGAACAAACAGTCTAACATGTAATAAAATGTACATATCAGTTAAAATGCTGTTTGTACCATAAAAACGGGATAGATGGCTATTTCAGGAAAATATGCATTACCGTCTTTAAAATGTCCATCTCCTTTAAGCTAGAAACTTAAGATACCTATTCTAAGGATCCTCTAGTCTCTAAACAATCCACACATTGATTTCAGGTGAATTTCCCTTGGAGTATATGTAAAACCGTGTTTATATATTTGATTTCTTTATTCCTAGGAGAGCATCCTTAAGTTTTTTTGATCCTTAGAGGAAAGGAAATTTTTTAATTCACTACAGTACTCCCACTTCAGAAAATGTATCTTTTTGGAAATCTATTAGAAAATAATGATCCTGAGTGAGGTAACCCAGTCACAAAACAAACATGGTATGTACTCACTCATATATGGATTTTAGACATAGAGCCTACAATCCGCACCACCAGAGAAGCTAAGAAACAAGGAGAACCCTAAGAGAGACATACATGGTCCCCCAGAGAAGGGGAAAGGGACAAGATCTCCTGAGCAAATTGGGAGCATGTGGAAGGGGAGAGGGGGCTAGGAGAAAGAGAAGGGTAGATGAGGAGGGGAGAGGAGGACATGAGGAAGCAGGAAGGTTGAGTCTGGGGATGAATATAGGAGAGAAAGATAAGAGATACCATAATAGAGGGAGCCATTATAGGTTTAAAGAGAAATCTGGCACTAGGGAAATGTTCAAGGTTCAAGGATGACACCAACTAAGAATCTAAGCAATAGTGGAGAGGCTACCTTAAATGACCTTCCCCTATAATGAGATTGATGATTACCTTATATGCCATCCTAGAGCCTTCATCCAGTAGCTGATGGAAGCAGAAGCACACGCCCACAGCTAAATACTGAGCTGAACTCCTGGAATCCAGTTGCAGAGAGGGAGGAGTGATGAGCAAAGGGGTCAAGACCAGGCTGGAGAAACCCATAGAAACAACTGACCTGAACAAGGGGAAGCTCATGGACCCCAGACAGATAGCTGGGAAACCAACATAGGACTTATCCAGACCCCCCTGAACGTGGGTGTCAGTGAGGAGGCCTGGGCAATCAATGGGGCCTCTGGTAGTGGATCAGTATTTATCCCTAGTGTATGAATGGACTTTGGGAGCCCATTCCACATAGCGGGATACTCTCTCAGCCTAGACACATAGGGAAGGGCTTAGGCCCTGTTCCAAATGATATGACACATTTTGTAGATCTCCCATGGAAGGCCTCACCCACCCTGGGGAGCAGAAAGGGGAGGGGATCGGGGCTAGTGAGGGCAAGGGAGGAAGGAAGGGAGAGGCAACTGTGATTGACATGTAAAACCGGCTTGTTTCTAATTTAAATAAAAATAGAGAAAAGAAAATGATCAGACATGTAGACACAGATTTATTAAGGATGTTTATTATAGTATTATGTGAAATAGTATAAACTAGAAAGAACTCAAATATCAAACAACTGAGAATTAGTTAATTGTAGTGCATCTGCACAATGGGATTTATATTCCTATTGAAATGAGACATCAAAAAGTTAATGACATGAAAATATGCTCATGATAAATGAGTAGTACAATTGTACAATTGTATCCATGGTTTGCACTATGATTATAACATCATTGAAAAGTCCAAGGGGATAACACAAGAAAATGTTACCAATGATTATCTTGGTGTGTTGTGGGATTAAGAATGATTTTATCTCTTTAATCTTTTCTATACTCGTCAACATTTCTTCATTGAGCTTAGATCACTTCAAAATTGGACACATGTTAATGTTGTGTGAGAACTGGTAGAAATATCATGACAACCTGTAGTGAGATACTTCATTTAAATTTTTATTTCCTTTTATTTATAGGGCCTCACATTTCTCAAGCTGATCTAAAACTTCTTGTGTAGCTCATGATGGCCTGCTTCTACCTCCTGAGTGCTGTCTTTATAGCGGTCCACCACCATGCCTGGTTTAATGCAGTACTGGAAATCAAGCCTGGGGTTTCATGCATATTAGGTAAATACTCTTCCAACTGAGACACATCCTTAGACCCATAAAGGGTACTTGAAAACAATTACAATGGTCTCTTAGAGGAGGCAGCTTTTTATCATAACTGGAAATCACAGCCAAAGCCTTGATCTTCTGAGGGGACTAAGAGTAGGTAATGGTTGAAGATGTTCAAAGTTCAAGGGGAAAGCTTTATGTAGAAACTGCTATGTGATTATTCTTCCCAGAAGTCTTGGTACAGAGAGGTTTGGGCCTCTTTCAAGAAAACAGCAGAATAGCAGTGTAGGCCAACTCACAAAGCCTCTTGAAAGCTCCTGTTTTGTGGCCTGTGCTGTCCAATGGCCTTTCCTTTTCTGTGATAGGGAGTTCTACATAGGGTTACATTGGAGGACTTTTAGGGGGAGGGATTAGCCAAAAATTCAGTGAGTGGGATTATAAGATTTATGAGAGAAGCATGAGAAAGCAATAGATAAATAAATAAATAAATAAATAAATAAATAAATAAATAGCCCATTGTATATTGCTTTGAGACTTAAGTTGTTTGGCAGCCAGATGTCTTAGCGTGAAACTGTAGATCTTAATCCCTTATATATCTAGAGGAAAGTGTAAGCTAGTGACAGATTGATTAATGCCATATGGTGTAAGATTACACTGCATAATGTTTATTAGAACATTTTACTATTCTGCCTTAGCTTTAATGATACAGTAATTTTTAAGGAACTAATTATGCATTTTGACCCATTAATTCATTTGGGAAATAACACTTAGGAAATTCACTTAAAAAGAGAAAAGTAGCTATTTATACAAACTATTTTTGTAACAGAAGACAAAATATTGGAAACCAACTTGCATGGGAACTGATATACTAAAATATATCAATATAAGGAAATGTATAATTACCATGAAAGGTGTTAATTTATAGAC